TCCTTGCTGTCAGAGCAAAGGTTTTGTTCCATTGTGTAATTATCCTCAGTGTAACTGGTTTTATTCAGCTCTTTAGAAGGGATGCAAAGTGGGAGAGAATCCCTTTTTTCTACTATAGACATAGGTGCATAAGTGGTGAAACGTGATGTTTGGAGCTGCAGCAGCCCTGTTGTGACTGAGAATAGTTTGAGCTTGTAGATGCCATACTGAGAGTGACAGAGCAGAAAGATGGAAGACTCCAAGTCCTTGACAAAATGTTAGAATTTCCAACCTGACAGACCAGGAAATTAGCTGCCTTCCATACTTCATGTGAGTGAGATCCTGAATCCCTTTACAATTGAAGACATTCTGAGTTGTATTTTCTGGTACATGAGTTGAAAGTATCCTCATTGATTAACTGTCTTAAGACAGAGCATGGATAATGGGCTCTGGAAATCAGAAAAGGAGTAGACTAGTGGATGAATCAGGAGTTTAGCTCTGTGTGTGTGTGTGTGTGCGCACATGTTTATGCATTCATGTATATATGTGTATGTGTATATATATGCATGTGTATATGTGTGCACATATAAATACACAAATGTTTTCTTTTTTATCTTTGTTATCTTGAGACACTGTGGCATAGTAGAAAAGACCTGGGACTTTGTAATTATTCATTCACCTTCTGCTACCTTGAGTAGTGCTACTTTGGGAGAGTTATTTAATTTATATGAGGCTCAGCATCCACAAAATAATACAGTACTCCATACCTCATAGAGTTTCATGAGGATTAAATGAAAGGGTATGTAGGAAGTGATTGGCACAGTGCCTGAGACACGATATACCTTCAATATATGGTATCTTCTGATAATGTTTCTTTTATGCAGACCAAAAAATGTTTATTGAGTACCTACTATGTGCTGGACACTTTACTAGGCATTGAACATAATGGTAAAAGAAACCCAGTATGATCCCTGCTCTCATGGAGCTTATGATTTGACTAATGATGACACAAATAATGGTATAATTATAAACCAAAACACATGCTGAGAAGTGAAATAAGGCACCATGCAATTGTGCAAGAGGTGAAGCTGACTTTGTCTAGGGCTTAAGGAAGGCTTTACCGAGAAAGTGGAATTTCACTTTGGGGCTGGGGACATGGTAGGGAGACCGTCACTCTAGCTTACAAAAACAAATACATTTATTTACTTGTTCCTGGACTATATACTTTTTAAGGTCAAAAATTATATTCACATAATCATGCATTCCTTTGGTTATATTCTTTGTACCCAGGACAGTGACCAGGCTCATTACAGACAACCGTAAACATTTGTGGATTGAATGGGTTAAGCTTTCTGACTCTCTCCTACTAAAAATAAATAAATAAGTAAGTAAATAAATAAGTATAAAATGTCTATTTCAAGAAGATGAGGAATAGAAAGCACTTGAACACATAGTAAGGGCTCAATAATTGGTAGCTTTTCTTTTTTTTTTTATTTTTATTTTTTTATTTATTTCCAGGACAGAGAGACAGCGCGAGCAGGGGAGGGTCAAAGAGAGAGCGGGAGACACAGACTCTGAAATCGGCTCCAGGCTCTGAGCTGGCAGTCAGCACAGAGCCCTACGCAGGGCTCGAACCCACGAACCGCGAGATCATGACCTAAGCGAAAGTCGGACGCTCAACCGACTAAGCCACCCAGGCGCCCCTAATTGGTAGCTCTTCTTATTATTACTATCAATATAGCTTTATAACTTGCACATATTATCTCTGCTACTATGTCGTAAACTCCAGGGCAGTGGGAAAAGTGTCTTACTTATCTTTGCTTATCTCGGAGTCTCGCATACAATAAATTTCTTATAAAAATTAAGAAGATACATGACTTTCTTAATTAGGAGTTAAGCTGACAGATTAAAGAGACTATGTACATTGAAAAAATAAATTATCACAGCTAAGTTAACCACTCCCTTTAGGGGATACTTAATGCCAGGTTTCTAAAATCAACATAAAATATGCATTTAAAAAAACTTCAGGGGCGCCTGGTGGCTCAGTCAGTTAAGTGTCCGACTTTGGCTCAGGTCATGATCTCATGGTTCTTGGGTTCAAGCCCCGCGTTGGCTCTGTGCTGACAGCTAGCTCAGAGCCTAGACCCTGTCTTCAGATTCTGTGTCTCCCTCTCTCTCTGACTCTCCCCTGCTCATGCTGTCTTTATCTCTCTCTCCAAAATAAATAAAACATTAAAAAATTTTAAGAAAACTCGAAAAACTGTTGTAAAAACCAGGCAGAACCCTGTATGGAGGAAAAATTGCTATAGAACAATTCATACAGAACACTATGCATGTAATTAAAAACTTACAGCTTTAATGTCACCCTTTCAGGGACTATTCAGCCAAAGGTCACTAACCTCTACCACAACTCCTTATTTTAATTTTCTCATACCACTTACAGCCACCTGATATTTTGCCTCTTCGTTTGATTGATTAATGAACTGACTGATTTTCAAGTTGCTTATCTCCCTCAACTAGCCTATAAGCTTTATGGGAGCAGAGATCTTGTCTGACTTATTTTCTTGCTATAGTTACAGTACCTAGAACTGTACCTTGCATATAGCTAGTGGAAACATAAATACCTGCTGAATAAAGGAACATATATAGAAAAATAATGTGGGGTGCCTGGATGGCTCAGTCAGTTGAGCTTTGGACTTTGGCCCAGGTCAAGGTTTCACCGTCTGTGGGTTCGAGCCCCGCATCAGGCTCTGTGCTGACAGCTCAGAGTCTAGAGCCCGCTTCGGATTCTGTGTCTCCCTCTCTGTCTCTGCCCCTCCCTAATTCGCACTCTGTCTCTCTCTCTCTTTCTCTGTCTCAAAAATAAACATTAAAAATTAAAAAAAGAAAACTAATGCTATTTATTATTTATGGATGTATATGTACCTTTGCAAAAATATAACAGGATATTGGAAGTAAAAATAGGAATCTTGGAGGGTGGTTCTTGAGGAGTCAGGGGTTTGAGGGATAAGCCTCAGCATGGTGGTTGGAGGGGGCTTTATTTATATGTGAAATGGTTTACTTCTTTAACAAAAATAAACAAGCACAAGATGACAAGATGTTAAATATTCTGATGGTGAGCATTTGAGTGTTTGCTATAATATTCTTTCTACTTTTCTGTGTTTAAATTTCTCAAAACAAAACAAAAAAAAAAAAGAGAAAGAGACCAAGAGGACATCTGAATGGAGAAGAATGAACTAAGCCCTTATAGTTTTACAGGAACTAAAGCCGTCTGATGTGCTGCTACCTACACTTGATCATCACAATAACTTTGAAGTGATTATTATCACCTTCATATTCTCTGGCCAGAAAATGAGACCAAGATTGAGGAAGGAGTCACCATGACCACGTCTCAAGTTAAGACACTGCTTGGCTGAGAACCTGATCTAGGGACGATTTCTTGCTCAAGCAGTAACATCAATGTCCTTCAAATATGAGAGCCGGGCAAGAGGTAAAAGAAATTAGCTTTGAGGCCTATAGGCAAGAGACCTCAAAGAGATCAATCTAAACTACTGGGCAATGAATGAGTAAATATTTTAATACAAATAGAAAATATGCTCCCAATGACCTTAGGCTACTTTAAAATTTAAACATTTTTTAAATGTTTGTTTATTTTTGAGAGAGAGAGAGACAGAGACAGAGTGCGTGTGGGGGGAGGGTCGGGGGAGACACAGAATCCAAAGCAGGCTCCAGGCTCCCAGCTGTCAGCACAGAGCCCAACGTGGAGCTCAAACTCAAGAACCGCAAGATCATGACCTGAGCTGAAGTTGGTCACTTAACTGACTGAGCCACCCAGGTACCCCTAGTTGCTTCAACTTTTTAAGTCTTATTTTTCTTACCTGTAAAATAAGGTATTTACCCGCCTCATAAGATTTTTGTGAGGATTGTATAATACATGTATTTGTGCATTACATAAATTGCATAAAGTTTATGCAAGAGACCCAGCATAGTGTCTGGCACTTAATAGATGTTCAATATTTGTGTGTTTCCTTTGGGTTGCCTATGTTCCCATGCGTTATGTTGAACCATTGAGAACTGCTTTTTTTTTTTTTTTTTAGTAACAATGGATGAATGGGGGAAATTTCATGAGATTTGCAGTATGACTATGAATGTAAGCTTGGATACCGCTATTCACTGTCTCATCTTGAATTCACGTGAGGGAAGAGCAGCACAGAGTCTGAATAAGACTGATGATTGTTTGGGGCCTGGGCTTGAGAGTCTATTTGCAAGGATAAATAAAAGGGATTTGCAAGCATGTAAGGAGGAGAAGGACAGTCCAATTGGCAGAGATGGGTTTACATAATCAGGGTTAGGCAATTGCAAACCAGACAGCTGCTCTATAGCTTTTGGCACCAAAATACATTGACCAGCTGGGATATCATTAATGCTTAACAGTTTTATCCTTATGACCATATCTTGGCCAATTAGGTTGTCTTTGACCACCGAAGGGTGTAATATATTCTGATGTAAATGCCACACGTGTATCCGTATACCACATATTCTATTATTTTGATGTAGAATATACACTAAATATAAATGTATCCACAGCCAGTTTAGATGGTGTGATTAAAGAGAAATAGAATTCAAATATACATTGATTTCTTTAAAAAATCAATATTCTAGGAAACGCTTTTTTTGGTGTATACTGAAGTAATAGGATTCAAATAATTAAAATAATTTTAAGCAGAGTTTTTAAAAGAATGATTATAGAAAAAGAAATATGGCTAGGAAATCCCAGGTCTGTACACTGTATGCATACAAATAAATACAGAAGGAGAAATAGATCACTAAAGACAGTGATTTTCTATAAACAGAAAACTTCTGGAAGTGTCAGAAGGAACACTTGATCCATTGTTAGCCCCCTGAGGCCATTTCAGAAGTGCTCCTACACAGGTAATCTCCAGAAGCTTCTTAAATTATGGGACGGAAAAAAACCATTAAGGACATTTAATTAAGACAATTGAATGCCATGAAATTTCCCAGAATGCTTCACACACTACTGTTTAATACTTCAAAGTATTCAGAATATTTTCAGAAATTGCAAGTGTGGCATTTACAGAATAAAATTATAATATGAAGATTTTATACAGCAGCAAAAAAAAAAAAAACGGTCATCCAAACACAGTACTTTAACTTACTACCCAATCCTAAATGCATATGGATAAAGGGTTTCACCAGTAAATTCTTTCCAATTTTATTCCTTTGCCATTTATTTAATTTCCTGTCTACTGGAATTCCTTGGTTACTTTCATTAGCATCTCTGGATTGACCTTTAAGCCGGGTACTGGTTGTATATTTTTTTATTTCCCGGTAATTTAGGTAAACCACTAAAAGTTAGATCACTCTTCCTTCTTCAAAGCCAGAGACCTGACCTTAAGACCTTTATATGGGGAGTATCAAAAATAAAGAGGCAGCGAAGCAAACCACTCCTTAAATCTATGGAACTAAAATAAGCGTTTGATAGAAGACAAATAAAACACTGAGATGCAAAGTACACCTACATGTATGAAGAATCCTTCCTACAAACACTATATACATGTTTTCGGTGGTGCTTTGACAAGCTATTAAAGAAGCCAACTTTTACTATCTACCTTCTTTCTTTTCCTACTTCGGATGGAGGGCTTTTACCAGAACTGGAAGACACTAGATCATGGAATATTAGTAGAGGAAAAGATTTTAGCAATCATCTGGTTCAGTCTGTCATATAGAGATGAAGCCCTTGAGGTGGAGAAAGTTTCTACAACTCCTTAATATCCTCCTGCCAGCATGGCAGAACCAAGACTGGAACCCAAATATACACCAATAACTAGATGAATACCATTTCCTCTAGATTGTTCTATCCCGCTAGTTTTTAAACTGCCTTTCCCTTATAATAGTATGCACCGACTAGCCAGCTCCAAACTGAATAACAAGCACCTTTACTACTATGGTTTTGATTTCCAAAGGTCCTAGTGGGATCTCTTTTTAAGTGGAAAATCCTGGGATGAAGGGATCCTGCGCATGAGATTCTGCCTGGGAGCCTGCCTGGAGTAGGTGTCCATGCTCATGCTCAGTCTTCATCTTGCACTGGCACTCCTCCACCAGCATCACCACCTTGACCACGGGAGAAAGGCCAGTGCAGTTCAGCTGCAAGTGCATCGTGGTGAACTTGGCAGGCAAGCAGTGGGAACAGAATGTGTGGGGGTGCTGCGCAGCTCCAGGAAAACGAACAGACCCACATTTCCCAAAGCAAAGGTTGTTCTGTACAACTACTTTCTCACAGTCTTCATGGGTGATCGCCTAAAAGGCAAACACATCTCCATTAAAGTATCATGAGTCATCTCATTAACATCCGTGATCCAGAAGCTATAAACTATATGTCTGAAGATAATTCAGACTAGAATTTCAAAAACTTTCCAATTTTGGATATTTTACAATATCCAAGTGATGGTTAATCTATAACAGCAGGGGCACCTGGCTGGCTCAGTCGGTTAAGTGTTCTGACTTCGGCTCAGGCCATGATCTCACGGATTGTGAGTTCGAGCCCCATATAGGACTCTCTGCTGTCAGTGCAGAGCCTGCTTCAGATCCTCTGTTTCCCTTTCTCTGTCCTTCCCCCACTCTCAATCTCTCTCTCTCTCAAAAATAAACATTCAAAAATCTATAAAAGTATAAAGCCACCTCAACTAAATTTCTTTTATTGAATATATTGATAAATTAGCCTTTAGGAAATCCCTAAGTTGAAAAAGAAAATGCTTTGTATCTTAAATGTCAAACTTTAAGAAATTTTGTCTAATTGGATGTTACCAGGTAAAAAAACTCTAATGGCTAACTTCCTATACAAACAATGCTCCTTATCTTTCTACACTTCACCATGCACTATACCCAACAGATTCTCCATAAGTATTCGGATCAGAACATCATGAATTCTATTCTATTTTTCAGTGCCTCCAGTACATTCAAATCAATGAAGTTACATGTGGCCAAGTGATGGCATCTATGAAAGCAGATCATTCTGAGTTATATCACCTTTGCCTCCTCTAACCCCATTCACCTGGCTTGATGTGCCCTTTAAGATATATGAGTCAAACACCTTAATTTTAATTTAATTAGCACTGGAATGTAAAATAAGAGTTTCAAAGGAAATTTGGCTGCATGATTCTTAGGAGCAATTTTGTAATTGCCCATGGCCAACAAAGCCATCATTATTATTCGATAATGGATTTACTGTGACATATCCTTGCCTTTTCAGGCAGAATACTTAACTGCCTTACACAGTCAATTACCTTGTAATTCTGCCTGCTTAATTGGGTAGCATTATTGGACTGTAAATTTTTACTCTACCCTGCATGCTTTTGGTTCAGTATCTTCGTGTTTAAGGACTTGATGCAGTTTCTCAGTTTAAATTAACATTTGGAGTGTGGGGCTTGCCAGGACCGACTGGAGGAAGTGGATAGTAGACTGCCCCTTTGTCTCGATAGGGAAGAATCAATCATAATAACCACAAATCAGCCAACACAACATGAAGCAGGAGGTGTTTCAGGAGCGAATGTGATTTCACACCGATACCGGTTTTTTGAAAGCTAATGAGAAAAATAAATTAAATCATCTTTTGCAGCGGCCGATGTTAAAAACTCTGCGGCCCCTTCTGCCTGACTGCCTGTGAAGTAGCTTGGTGTGAAATACAGGGATTAAGACTGAGATAGTAAGAATGAGAGTGTTTGGGGAGGAGTCCACTGTTTCCTCCCTTATCTATGGGTGGAGTTGACCTACTCATCTACATCCCAATAGAGTGTTAGAGAAACAGCTGGAAAGAAGCTCTGGTTATTTCTCTAAGTTCCCAGTTTTCCTAACGGTGGGTCTCCGTCTTACTTATCTCTCTGGATTGACTCCCTTCCACATAAAAATAAGGAAAAGCCCATGAACCAAAGGTCTGCGCCATCAATATGAATGGTTACTAATATTGGCAATAGCATCATACCATTCTTACAGCATTTCCAGAATGCCAAGAAACTGTGGAAAGCTGGAAGGAAATTTGGGGAGCGTGACCATACCCTGCCAGTCCCTGTGATGAACGCCCAAGGGCCAAATCTGGGCGTTAGGCGAGACTCTGGCCGCGTTCCCTCCTACTTTCCACCTGTGCCAGTTGTCCGCCCCTTTCTTGCAAGCTCCGACCCCCTCTCCCTCCGGAACAGATACCTGGCTGAAGGGCACTGTCCTACAGGTCTCCTGATGTACTTCGTGGCTTTTGATGGGCAGGATGATTCCCTGGGAAGCTGGACCCATTCTGAACACAAAGTGGTGCCAGAACCTCTTGGCTTCTTCCCGTAGGGGAGATTTCTCCATCTGCATCCCATCTTTCGGCTGGGCGAGGGCCCGGGTCCCAGGCGGGAAGTGCTCACTGACCGAGTCCCGGGGTGGGCGCACTTGTTGCTCAGGCTTCTTCCAGAACCTTCCAAACCTGGACAGCATCTTCTCTCTCTGCCTCTGGCCTTCCCCTGCACCTATCAGGTGTGGCACTGCAACAAAAAGATCCGGCTTCTCCTCAGCCTCCTCGTGGTGGCCCACGGGGAGTTCTCTGTGACTCCTTTCTGGGAGCCTGGGGGAAACAGGAGTCTGACTCTGGTGGCCTTCCCGGTGCTGCTGCGCAGCCTTCCCTAGAGGCAGGAGCACCAGCAGCCGAAGGAAGAGGAGACACATGCTGTGAGGGCCCAAGCTTCTTTCAGATTCACAGATGGTGAGGTCTAAGGGAAAGGTTCACTCTCTGCAGGAACAAACAAGGAGATCCTATATATAGATACCTGCCTTGTGGGATGGAAAGGCAGGTGGTCAGTAGCCAGCAGAGTAAACACATTTATTGTTTGCTTGAATTATGTAGTGCTAATGGTGTCCTGCCTTCTCTTTAGTTGTGTGTGTTTTTGAAGGCCCCAGTGAAAGCCTGGGACCCAGGGGGTAATTAGCTGGCACTTTATCGTCTGAGATTTACAGAGCAGTTATCCCTGAAAACAACACATTCTTTTCCCCAGATTTCCCATCACTGTTATTAGGAGAAGGACCAGAGTCAACGGACATCTGTGGTGCATCTGCTTTGCACTGGGATAGAAAAGACAAGGCATGGTTTTATGAAAGAAGTGTATCCAATAACAATTAAAGGCATGCATTTAGTGAAAACCCAAGCCTCTAGGCTTCACACACACACACACACACACACACACACACACAGGCAGCCAAAGAAGTATATCAAAATTATAAGGAAGGAAAAGGAAGAAAGAAAGATGTTAACTTTGTTGAGCAGAGGACTCTCTTACTTAGATGTGGTAGAGGTTGTTGGTTTTTACATAATAACCGAATAAAGGGGATACATGCTCCTTTTCCACACAAGGAAACTCACAGTTCCCAAATTAATCCCCTCACTTTCAGAATCAGATACCGGACGCTAAGTTTCACAATGGGTCAGCCATCAGATAAACTCTTTCAATTGTTCACAAACTTCTCAACCGGGTCCTCAGTAATAGACTGACTGCTTCTCAGTCTTCAGTGAAGATGGAGAAATGTCTCCCTCAAGCCACTCTATTGATTTTTTTTCTTTCGCTAAACAAAGAGCCAGACTTGAGAACGTGGATTCTAAGAACCAGGTTTGATAGCTCTGGCCCTGAAGCTGGCTGGTCAATTCTTTATCTTACAGAATCCACATCATCTTCCTTATGCTACAGTAATTGATGACCAGGTAAAATGAAGATGGAGGCAAACATTCATCTTCAGGAATCAAAAGAGATTTGTTAGTTGATTATCATTAGAAAATCACACAAGGGTATGAGAAATAAACAGATCCACACACTGAAACCCATAAATTGAATTCAATTGACCGTGCACTCCATTTGAACAGTATTTCCATTGGAAATTAATCCCATACTTGCATATATTTCTTCCCTTTTAACTTAATTACCATATTCCTTGCTTTTAGTAACACACATAATCCAGAAACATTGTCCCATTTCCATATTGATTAAGCTTTCTAAGGATTGCCCCATTAGAATCTTTGTCCAGACATTAGTGTTCCTTTAATAGTCGTGCCTGATTTCTGTGACATAAAGCCCGATGTAAATTCCTTTATTTACAATAATGAACAATTTTTAAATGGACCATCATTTTCCCAAATTCTCTCAGAAGAGATATCTTTTGCCCATACCAAACATCCACAGGACCTGGGCTAGTATTAATTAAGGAACAATTAATTGATCCATACTAAATGAACATTAGTATTTGCCATTTCTTTTAAAGTACTTTTAAAAGTTGCCTGCCATTTGAATTTCTTGATTCCCCTCAGCTATCTAATGAAATAGACTTTCCAGAGCTGGCTACTCTGCCCCAATTATAAATACAGTCTTGAAGCCAGATCTGTTTCTGTATTTCTTTTAAACTTTACTTTTTGGCACCTGAAATTCCAATGCCATCAATCACAGTGGCTGTCATTTCCCCAAACAGAAGTCTGACCGAGAGATCCCACTCAGGGTCTCAGATTGCCCAGCTCGGCAGATAGGATACAATTCAAATAATTACAATTGCATTCAAATTTGTGGAAGATTCACTTTGTGGGTTATACATCGTGTTAGATATAAGCAGAAGACAGAAAGCGGTAACAACTTGGTTCCTGCCCTCAAGCAGGTAGCGTAGCCTAGTGGTACTGTACATTCTATAATCTAATTATATGAGCTGTAGTGATGTCAGTTATCCATTTTTAACCTTCCTGTAGTCCTAACCCCTTCTTCTTCGGATCCTAATTTTGGTATTTGGTCATTTAAAAAATACTCATGCAGATTTTGCTTTTGCTGTTCTGTCATTTCTGTTGAGAAGATGTGCACATATCTTGAAGGATAAAGCAAGCAAAGTAAAGCCTCCTGCGGTGAGAACATAGGTCTGTCTTCAACTCCTGTCTTTTACAGCTAAGGGCAGATGACATTGACCTTTGACCTCTGCGTTCTCTCGTCAATTCTAAAACTATGTATGTGATACATCATAGTTTACTCTTAAGACCGTAAACATTTTGTAGCTTTGAACAAAAATATGCTGCCTCTGTGGGTCTTCGGTGAGACAAGCATCTGGTTACCTCCCAGTTTGGATGAAGCCAAATGGAGGTAGGTCCGGAGGAGGCCTCCAGGCTCAGCAGGACACAGTCGTGTGGAGAGAGCACCAGAGATTGTTGGTGTACTTAGTACCAAATGCCACAGTGAGAGGCAGGCCTGAGTTGACATGGGCCCCCGCCTGCCATGTCCAGTTCCTGGGACAACATCAGGCCCGCATGAGAGCTAGAGGGGCTAATCTCATTGTTCATCCATTGTAATTCACAACTCACGCTCAGCATCATCTGAACTCTGCTTTCAACTTAACATGGTTTTCCTGGGCACTACAAGGCCTACAGGAAGGTGGAGATCCCAACGTGCCTGAGAGGACACAGCAGTCACGTATTTCTGTCCCTCTTACAGGCTTTTCAGAAACTATAAAGCGGTCTAGTGCCCTCTGAGGGGAAACAAAGAGGCTAAATTCTTTTCTGAAAACCCCAGACCGACAACAAAAGGTGAGAGGCAGTGCTGGGTCGTAGATGGGCATTGGAGGTAAGCTGGGAAGTAGAAAAGAGAATTTGGGTGGATGGATTAGTGAAAGAAATCTGCGTAGGGTGTGTGCCACTGTTTCCTAGCTACCCTTCTTTCCAAAATATGGAAAAGCAATAGGGTTGTAGGGGGTAGGTTATTTTCAAAGAACCCAAATGAAGGCAGAATCTTCCTCCTTTTTTCCCAAAGAACAGAGAATAGGACAAATTAGGGTAAGTGGTTTCGGCTTCAACCTTATCTTGATTTGGTTCAGTAAATCAGTCAAAGCCTAGCACTCCCCCTCTGCACTCCTCTCCCTGCCACTTTCTGTGGAAAGAAGACTTTGGGAAGAACTTCATTCCCCAAAGATGCTCTGCTCATTGGACTCACTGATGCATTCATTCATACAGTGTATTTTTGAGTGCCAAGTCTGCATAAGGTCTTGGGGATAAAATGGTAAGGGTGTCCTTGCCCAGGCCCACTGGAATTTGCAACCTATAGGAAGACACTAGCTTATTCAAGATAAGTTACACAAGGAAAAGGTTGGCAGGCACCACTCCTGTACTAATCAAGGACTTTCAAATGGATCCAAACTCCAAAGGCAGAGTGAACTGGCACACTGTGTTTATGTTAATTTTATTCAATAGATAGGTGTTGAGTGCAAGGATGTGCAATAAATGTGCCCTCATTCTCTCTCTTTTAATTTTGATGACGTACTGAATATTTGTAGTCACAAAACTTAAATAATACAAAACATTGTACAATTAAAGAGAGATCTTCCCTTGCCTTCCCAGGCTTCCTGTCCTGCCACGGAGGCAATCACTGTTATCAACTTATTTATATTGAGTCTTCTAAAATTGTCACCTGTTGGGACACCTGGGTGGCCCTGTCGGTTAAGCTTCTGACTCTTGATTTCAGCTCAGTTTATGATCTCATGGTTCACGAGATCGAGCCCTGATACAGGCTCCGTGCTCTCAGTGGAGTGCTTTCTTGCTCTCTCTTTCTCTCTCTCTCTGTCAAAATAAATAAGTAAATATTTTTAAAAAATAAGATAAAAATGTCATCTGTTATGAGTTGAATTATGTCCCTCCCAAAAATTCACGTGCTACAGACTCAATGCCCCAGTACCTCAGAATATGACCATATTTGAAGATAAGGCTTTTAAAATGAAGCCATTAGGGTATGGGCCCTAGTCTGATAAGACTGGTGTCCCTGTAAGAAAAGGAGATGAAGACAAAGACACATAAGGAGAGATGGCAGTCTGCAAGCCGAGGAGAGAACGCCCAGAAGGAAACAGGCTTACCAACACCCAGATTTGGAACTTCCAGCCTCCAGAACTGTGAGAAAATAAGTCTCTTCTTGTTTAAGCCACCCTGTCTGTGGAACTTCATTATGTATCCCACAGCAAACTAATATAACACTCAAAGGGAATGAAACGTGTAGCCAATACAAAAGGGTAAATATCAAATGGGGTCGCATGCCACAAAAATTCCCCATTTCCTCTGATCCCCAAGTTACTTTTATGATCAGATTATTCCATTTGCAGTTTCAGTGATCTGTTGCTCTCTGTCCCAAACACTCCTGCCCCATGAAAAAGCATTTTATTCATTTATTTTTGCAAATGGGGATGTATGTATCACTGTGCACAAGTCGTAGGCTATGTGACTAATCAGCTACTTACCAAGATTGTAGAGAGAGCACCTGCAAATCTAGAAGAAGGCCAAGGGGGCTGATGCAACTTCACCGTGTGCCCACCACCCTACTGCCCATCCTTCCCACTGCCAGCCTTGACTTACAGCCAGGCCAGGATGCCTTCACCAATGCTAAGCTCTGTCATGCTCCTCTTCTCCATCTTTACAGTTTACCTGGCTCACTTCTCATTCTGCAGAGAGCTGCTCTCAGAGAGTAATGGAAGAAGTAACTCTGGACTGGAAGCCAGAAAACCTTTATATGGTTCCTAATTCTGCCTTACAGCTTGTAAGCTACAGGATCTCTGGCACTCCAGGTCCTGAACCTTACCACGGACAACACCCTTCCTTCCTCATCTGGCTCATTGTCTTTCTTTTCATCCTTAATCCTATCACCCTGGGTAACTTCAGTGTCTACATGGTCGCATCTGACCAACAACAAGACATTGGC